GGTCCCCCTGGCGCTGGGGCTGGTCGGCCTGGCCTTCGCGCTCTTCGGCCTCGTCCTGCTCTTCGTTCTGCCCAGCATAGTCCGAGACCAGGTCATCAAGGTGAGACCCGTGCAATGGAGCTTCATTCTGCGATGGGGCCCTGCCTTTGCCTTCCCCCATCTAACCGGAGGGCAGCAACAAGTGCCCTGTTAGGGGCGACTGGTGCCTATGAGGGCACCCCACTTAGCAACTGAATTGGGGGGCCATTGCACCTCCTGAGTGCTCACCCCCGGTCTGTACTGTGCCCCCCTCACCACTATACCCCTGTGCTGGGTGCTCTGGCGCTCCAGCCTCCCTAGAGCGAGCTAAATTGCTGACCTGACTGATGTTTTCATTAAATAGGCAGGACTGGAAGGGACCTCAGTAGTATGAGGGCACCCCACTTAGCAACTGAATTGGGGGGCCATTGCACCTCCTGAGTGCTCACCCCCGGTCTGTACTGTGCCCCCCTCACCACTATACCCCTGTGCTGGGTGCTCTGGCGCTCCAGCCTCCCTAGAGCGAGCTAAATTGCTGACCTGACTGATGTTTTCATTAAATAGGCAGGACTGGAAGGGACCTCAGTAGGTCCTGTCGCATGGCTAGGTCGTAATTCCCCTGTGCAGAAGAGATGGGGTGCTACAGGACAGGAAGAGTGGGTTAGAGCCGCTTGGGTACTGACCTGCACAAATGAGGCTGGAGAAGACTAACTACAAGTAGCTCCGGGTTGGTTAATTACATCTTTCCCTCCAGTGCAGCAGTAACAGTGATTCGTGTTCTAATTTAATGAACTCTGTTGTGTTGGTCCTGCTGGCCTCATGTGATTCCCCCCTGAAATCAATGCATTAAAGCAAATGGGGTCTGGGCAAATATTTCGTGTCAATCGTATCTGTGTTTGTGAGAAGTCAAGGTCAAACACACAAATGATAGACTTCGGGTGGGTAAAATGCAAATAACAGAATGGGGAGCTCAGGTAACAAACAAAGTTTGTCCAGAAGCACTTTCTTCCGTGGTCCTGGGATGGCAATAAATAGGCAGGGCTGTGAGCATCTTACATGTCCCCTAAGTATCTTCACCTCCCCCCTGGCTAGCATTTGCTTTCCTTTCCACCCAGTGTTTCTGGAATGATTTCTCCATGCTGGGGCTCTGTTTCCATGCCTCATCCTGGCCTCCTAAAATAGGAGTGCTGGAGAAGCATGACTTGTTTCTCTGTTAGACAGTTTTTTACCCAAACTTTTTTGCAACCTTTTCTGTCTTACTCTAGAGATATGTCTTTGGCTGATGGACTTTCAGCTCTTAACAATGCAAATGAGCAATACTAATGACCCCCAAATCGTAGATAGTAACATTTCTGTAAACCTCCGTGTTTCTCAAACTGTGGGTCCTGACCCCCTGCCACCTCCAGTGAGTTGCAAGCAACTTATACGGGGGTCGTTAGAGGGGGGTCGCAGTATCACAAAGTTTGAGAACTGCTGCTCTAAACTATTACTGTACTGAGTATTGCAATATATATAAATCATAGATTGTCCCTTATGTGTTTAAAATGCTGTTGCCTAAAGTGCAGAATGCTATAGAAAACTCAAGGTTAGTGATAACATGCTGAAGTATATTGTATTGCCATTCTTTTTGCAATCAATACTAGTTCTTAGTTTCGCTAAATGACACAATGGAAGCATTTGTTAATGAGAATGAAGTATTTGGTCCATGGGATAGGCCTGCTAGTCTTCTATAGGTACTGAACACCAAAGGGCTATAAGAAGACTTCACAAACCTGCACAGATTAGGTCTATGAGCAAAATTGCTGTGTCCCTTCCCCTGAAATTTCCTGTTAGTGCCTCTGAGTGTTGGCAGTGGAGCCACTCAAACTTAATGATGAAATGTGGCTGGCCTGGGAGTCTAGCCGCAGGGCAGACTCGTTCTTTGGTTTCCTTCAAACCACAGGCTCTAAGAGCCCAGCAGCTTTGGGGGTGAAACCCCCATTCTTGTAAGCTCTGTTGTTGCAATAAACAAGATCATTCATACTAGAGCCATAGGTTGGCCTGGTGGAGCAAAATTTAGTTTGGAAACATGAGTTCAGACTGTTTTGTTTTCTTGTGATACAAAATTAAACCATATTTTGACATGCCAGAATTTCCTCATGAACTAGGAATACTGATTTCTGGTAGCTTAAATTCCAGCAGCCACCAATTATTGTGCCTCCACCTCATATGCTGTGTAGACTCCTTAAACAGGGAAATACTATTGTGATTTTAAAAGAAAGCTTATCCGCTTTACTCTAGTGCTGCAATGATTCAAACTTGCCTAGCATAGACAAGGGCACAGGACTGTAGGACTGGGGAAGGGATCTTGAGAGATGTTCTAGTTCAGATCTGTGCACAACTTATTCCTAAAACTTTAAGTGACCAAGATTCTATAATCTTCCTAGATAATTTATTGCGGTGTTATAACTATCATGACTGCTAGGAAGTGTTTCCTAATGTCCAAATTACGAGTCCTCTTCGGCTGCAGTGTAAGCCCACTGCTTTTTGCCCTATGCTCAGAAGTTTATAAGAACAGTTGTTCTCCCTCTTCCTTGTAAAAAGCTTTTATGTACTGAAACGTATCAGTCTTCTCTTTGGGATCCTTCAGAGTTAAGATGTATATACAAAGTAAATGGTTATGCTCCCATTGAGAATAGATCACTGAAAGTGACTACTTGGTTTTTTTTTTTTTCTTTCTAATGAAGCAGTGTGGTGTAAAGCCTCTGAACTTTGTAACTGGTTTTTAAACTTCATTTTGACATGATGGTGTGTCCTCTTCATTGCATTTGGATTTGTTTAAACTTGTGAGATTAACAATATATAGTGGAATCTTAACCATTTTTTACTCAGCATTGAGTAACACCTTGGCTATGTCTACACTGGCATGATTTTCCGGAAATGCTTTAACGGAAAAGTTTTCTGTTAAAAGCATTTTCAGAAATGTGCGTCTAGATTGGCAGGACGCTTTTCTGCAAAAGCACTTTTTTGCCGAAAAGCGTATCTAGATGCGCTTTTCCGCAAAAAAGCCCCGATTGCCATTTTCGCGATCAGGGCTTTTTTGCGGAAAACTAATTTCTGCTGTCTACACTGGCCCTTTTGCGCAAAAGTTTTTCAGAAAAAGACTTTTGCCTGCACGGGAGCAGCATAGTATTTCCGCAAAAGCACTGACAATCTTACATGAGATTGTCAGTGCTTTTGTGGAAATTCAAGCAGCCAGTGTAGACAGCTGGCAAGTTTTTCCGGAAAAGTGGCCAGTCTAGACACAGCCCTTGGGTAACTTGCATAACTCTTCTAACTTATGGGGGCAAGCCCCTTCATTGATTGTACTAGGTATCATGTTAATTTATCCAGACCAAAGTATGCAGAAACTGCATATTTGAGTCCTAGACCCTATATTGCTAAGAGTTAAAGGAGATTGTGTTTGTCTCAAGTGATAGGCCTGTCCTCTTGGAGTAGGAGGATCTGAGAGAGAGTTTGAATGTTAGTCAAGTTCTAGAGCTGGCTTGTAGTTTTGTAGTGGTCATAAAGCTGTGAGTGGCCATCAAGAAGCTGTACACTCTAGAGCATGGGTTCCCAAACTGGGGGGCATGAGGTGACCCAGCCCTTCCCTGTCAGTCCCCCCCCAAATTCCGCTGCTATGGGGAGAGGGGGTGTGAGGCTGAAACGTTTGGGAACCACTGCTCTAGAGACTTGTTTTATGCACTCTTTCATCTTTTAGCGTGGGATTTCAGAGGTGTCAAGGAGTTGGGCACCCAAGTCCTCTTTAAAGTCAAAGGAATATGGCTAGTGGGGGGGGTGGGTTTGCTTGTTTGTTTGTTTGTAGGAGACTCAGGACATGCTGTATTTCAGAGCATTTTTATTCCTGTAAAATGGTGGCAAGTCGCTCTAGTTAATTGGGAAGAATCAAACCTTGATGTGCATTTCTGCTTCCAGGGCAGATGGGTTTGGAATGGGTGTGGGTATGGCCTTCACAGGCCTTGCATGAATACATACAAGTCCCTAAATAGCAGGCTCCTGGTGACAATATCCATCATTTGATACTGTCTGTTGGGGGGCCTTTGGCAAAGAATTTGAAGTCTCATCCTAGACTCAAAGCTTCTGAGCTGCTCTTCTCAATAGTAGGAAGTGCTCAGCATAGAAAAGCTGCTCACTGAACTTTCTGACCCAGCAATGGGAGAGCCAACTCTTCTGAGGTCAAAGATCCTCTTAACAGCACATTCAATGCATTGCCTAGGATGCAAGTGCACTTATTATGCAGCAGGTCAAAGATTATTGAGATTATACCAGGTGCCTGGCAGTAAGGAGCTCCCTTACATTTCAGGGGATTCCTGAACCTGTGATGTTGACTTGGGAATCAAGAGCATCTAAGCTCCAGGGAGGAGGCAGTGAGATGAACTGGCTGACACTTTGAGATGTGTGGCAAAGAGAACAAGAAATGAAATGCAGAGGAGACTTCCCCTTCCTTTTTTCTTTAGCCTCTTGTTAGCATGAGCTAATTGAAGTATCTTTCTCCTATGTGTCATCCCATTAGCAAAACTCTTAATTGTGTAATTCAGCAATAGGCAACCAATAATAGTTTCTTGGTTCTGGACTTTCCACACTCCTCCAGTCTTCTGAAGAAGTGGGCTATGCCCACGAAGGCTCATAATACCACCTACATGTTTTGTTAGTCTTTTAAGTGCTACCAGACTATTTGTTGTTTAAGTCTTTCAAGAATAGGGAGTAGACTATGAAATGTGGAGCTACAGTGGGGGTAGCTGGCATGAGCTGGGACCAAGCCTGCATGCCAGTTCCCAAAATATTTTAAATGCAAAGCTGGGAGGTGAGGGGAGAGGGAAGGTAGCTGATAGTGTTAACAAATAAGCAGCTGTGTATCAGTTAATTGTCTAATTGGCTACACTATTCCATTCCTAGGAGGGGGATGCAGAGGGCTTGGGTTGTGAACTGGAGCAGGGAGTTGGAGTGCCAAGTGCAGGCTCCAACTGGGAGGCGCTTCCCATACTAGATAACTTTATGGCCAGCAGCCCAACATGACCCCAAGGATGGTTCCTTGCCTGCTAC